CAACGGCAGTGACGCTCGCGTGCAGCGCGGGTAGGGGATAACTTAGTTAACAAGTATAAGCGGCGGCAGTAGCAGCGGCGTAAGGAGGGTAGTGCTTTAACAGTTTACTAACGCGTAGCACCCTAGGCCTAAAGAAAGCAAACGTTAGAATATATGCAAAGGGAATAAAGGGAAATTAATACTAATAATAAGAGTCTTAATACCGCAGGTGGTGCGCTTAGTAGCGCTCTTAAGTTTATTAATACAAAGGTTAGTTTAGGCCTAGGTCTTGTTTATACGCTAGTTAATGCGCTAGAAGGCAACACTAGCAGCGGCGGCAAGCTGCATAACGTTGTCGTTGCCACAACTGCCACGTAAAGGCGTAATAGTAGACTAAAGTAGAAACGCTAGAGCACTAGTAGTAGATAGAATAACAGTACTAAGCTAATACTAATTATAGGCGCGCAAGTAGGTAGTAGGGGCGAGCAGAGCAACAGCGTTATTAGTTTAAGCCCTAGATATAAGATCCTTAAAATAACAGTAGAGCTAGTAGAACTACGGCATAAACTAGTAATAGGTGCCTTTAGTAGGTTTCCCTATAAAAGTGCTAAGGGTCCCCTTCTTTGCAATATAAAGGCGATCCTCCTAGTAACTATAATAAAACTAAAGCTAGTTGCAGAGGGCTTGGCGAACGTTAGGATTATTAGTAAGGATAGCTTCTAACTAAGTACAAGTCTTATAGCCGCAATAGTAGGACTTATATAAGCGCCCTAGATATAGTTAGAACTCGCTACAAAGAAAATAAAAAATTAAGGGGAACTTACTACTACCTTCCTAATAGTTACACTTGCTAAAGAGACAAAGCTAGTTAATATACTAATTATAGGGAAGTAGCTTCACAAAACTACTATTATATTCCTTATTATCTAAGTTACTAGAAATAATAAAGCTACTAAGTAACTAGGTTTAGGGAGATATGTGCTAAACAAAAAGTTAGTGCAGGGAATATAGGGAGAACGTTAGAAGTACACACCTTATCCTAGTAGGCCTAGCGCGGGGTCTAACTGCCTTATAGTAGATCCCTACTACTAGCACTAGCAGCAGCAGATAACAATATAATAGGGGCTAGATAGGCGGGATTAATAGAAAAAGAGTAGAGAGAGGGCTAATTAGTAGGGAGAATCTATTGTATAACAAGTAAGTTTAGGAAATTTATAGTAGGGTAGGATAGCTATATTAGAACTTTTATAGTAGGGTGCTAAAATAAGCGTATAGACGCTACGCGCGCGTACTACTTAATATACAGGCCTGTTACAAATTAGGAAGGAATATAAAGATATAACAACAAAACTAAAAAATATAGTAATAAAGCCTAATATAGATTATAGAGGATAAAGACATAACCCTAGACCCCTAGAAAGACGATTTTACAATAGGTTATAGGGGAAGGTTAGGGGTATATAAAGGGCTTGGGCTTATACCTAAGCCTAGGTCTAACACAAGACAGACCAAGTCTAACACTACTACTAAGCGAACACACTAGACACCTATAAAAAGGCGTGGAGGGCTTATCTCTCCTTTAAGATACTAAATACTATTATCAACGCTCATTGCATTCTTCCCTTAAGGCCAGTCTATAACAGGAGAAAGTAAGTCTTACGCTAGCGTTATATATATTTACTAATTAAAATGTGTTTAGAACGTGTTTAGAATATATTCTATAATAATAATAATACTCTAGATAATAATAAAGCAAGTCTTGCTATATCTAACTTAACTAGATATATCTTAGTCCTAATAAGAAATAAAAGAGTATGCTTAAAAGCCTAAAGCTAGAGGGTAAGTAGTAGAGCGGTATTAGAAAGAAGTTTACTAGCCTCTTTTCTATCTTCTCTACTACTAGGCTCTTCTCCTCTACTAATAGTAACCTAAAGGTATACTTTACAAAACACGTTTATAACACGTTCCTAACTTATTATTAGTCTATAACTATAAACTTTATAATAAAAGGCTCTTCTTAGTAATTAGGCTCTAAAGGAGAGAAAAGAAAAGCTAGAGGTAGATAAGGAAGAACTTGTATAGAAAAAGGCACTATTTAAATTATAAAAGGTATAGTTTAAACTTAAGAAAGAGATAGCTACTTTTTATATAAGGTAGGGTTAGTCTATAAATATAGTAACTAGTTTCTAACTAGTTCTTAATATATTCTAGTCTATTATATAAGTATATATAAGTAGATAAATATATATTCTTTCTTCTTCTCTTTCTTCTTCTTTCTTCTTACACTCTATAAGAACTTTTTATATTTAAGAGTTTAATACTATTTTACTATCTATCTTTCCTAATATTATTAGATATAACTAGTTAATATAGTCTATAAAGATCTTTTAAAGTTAGTATATAATAGAACGTGTTAGGAACATGTTATAAACTTGTTCTAATACTAAGTAGGATTTATACTAGTAATATATTAAGCTTAAGTTACTTCTATCTAATACTAGGGTATTCTCTCCTATAATATCCTACCTAAATAAAGGGTGTATAGTATTTCCTAGCAAGCTTTTCTACTAGGCTATTTAGGCTAGATTAGGGGTATAGGAACTTTATAGAGTATATATATATACAAGTTAGAACACATTTATAATATATTAATAACTATTTTAGTATTACTTCTCTAATAAAGGTAATCTTATCTACTACCTTAAGAGGTATTATCCTAAGGTTTAAATAGCCCTAGTAAACTATAGTAGAATTATAATATAAGGTATTATAGAAGCAAGGATCTTCTATAGGAGCTTAATAGTAAATACTTAAGAACGTGTTCTAAATATATTAATAATACGTTCTCTACTAGTAGAGTAGACTACACTAAGTGCCTCCTCTAAGGTTTAAGAACCCTCTAAGATAGCTAGTCTATAATAAGAAGTAGTAGCTAGAGTAGAGGCTAAAGAGGAAGTAGAGAGTAAAGAAAAGGAGTAAATAGTTGCTCCCCTTTATACTATAAATAATATTTAGTAAAAGTAGTAAAAAGGAGATATAAGTCTAGTCTCTTAAAATATATTTAGAATATATTAATAATATATTATAGCTAGACACCTATAAATACTAGATTCTTCTTTAATTTAAGAGACTACTAAAGCTTTATAATACCTATAAAAGTAAAAAGAAAAAGTTATATACTATTAAAGGACCCTATAAAAGTAAATAGTACTTTACTTTTAGTAGATAGAAAAAAAAAAGAGAAGAGTAGAGAGTTTATTTTAGTAATTACTACTACCCCTTTAGGTTATATACTATTATATATTATTTATTAGAACCTATTCTTAATATATTCTTAACATGTTCCTACTTATTACTATTATTATCTCCCTCCCCCTCTCTAGTATCTTCTCTATCCTCCCTATCCTCCCTAGGCTCTATAAAAGTATACTATAAGTAAAACTAGGTAGTATTCTAGCAGGAATTAGTAAGGTCTATACTAGTATTAAAGTAATAGTCTTAAAATATATTAGGAATAGGTTAATAATATATTATAAATAACTTACTATAGCTAGGATAATTATAAGTATAGATAGTATAAGGAACCTAATAACCTTAAATCCTTAGTAGGGTAGATATAGTAATAAAGTTAAGCTATAATAAGTTAGTAACGTGTTTTTAATAGGTTCTTATAGGCTATACCTTATTATTATTATAGCTAGTATAAGTCTTCTTCTAAATTATATTTAGGAGGGTATTAGTATTTATAGGGGGGCCTATAGTAGCTACTAGCTAGGCTTAGAGAACTTCTATAAAATAAGTTAGTAATAAGTTTTAAATATATTCTAAATAACTTATAGCAAGGAGTATTCTAGTAATTATATATAACCTTTATATAGAAGTCTATATATATTAGTATAATAAGTTAAGAATAGGTTAATAATATATTTACTCTTTACCTTATAGACCTCCTTTATAGAGGGCTAGCTAGTCTTCTTAACCCTACTAACCTTATAGTAGGCTATATTAAGCCTATAATCTTTTTTAGCATAGGTATATAGAGTGCCTCTAGTACCTAGAATAGCCTAAGAATATTAGAACCTATTTAGAATATATTTAGAACCTATTCTTACTCTATATAAGGTGCCCTTATTATTAATCTTAGTATAGTAGTAGCGCTCTCTACTCTCTATCTTAACTACCCTATTAGGGCTAACTATAGGCTATACCCTAATATTATCTAGAATATAGCTAAGGGTAAGGTACTATTAATAGTGCTTTTATAACCTATTAAGAATATATTCTAAATATATTTTAATCTACTTATATAGGATATAAGGGATATATTAGTAATAGGTATAGTAGTAGTAGCTTATAGTATTACTAGTATAGAATATATTTAGAATAGGTTTAGAATATGTTATAAAATCTTATAGTATAATATTTAGTTAACCTTGCTTAGCTAGCTAGTAGAGCTTAGCATAGCCTAACCCCATGCTAAATACAAGTTCACGCAGCGCTAATTCCATGGTCATATGAACTGCGCCCTCAGGTCTGACACACTGACAACATCCCTGGCCACGAACGAGTGACGCAGTACGGTGGAGACTCCGCCACCAAAAAAAGGTCCCCGTCCTGTCTGCCACCACACAAGTGCTTCCTAGAGTAGCATCAAACCATTGTCAACCCTACGACAAGCAAAGGCAAAAGAATAGACGTTGCCCATGCAAGAGGAGGAGGAATAGGAAGAAAGATAGCAAGAAGAGAAGAAGAAGAAGTAGAAAAAGAAAAAGAAAAAGAAGCCACAGTGGACTTGCAGGCATCGGAAGAGGAGGGACGACCCGCTGCAGCCACGAGACGCGCATAGTACACAAACACCCCAGTCCCCTCTCTCCCCTCTCCCCTCTCCCACCACCCCCGAACACACCACCGCCCGCCGGGGCTGGACATGTGCCCAACGTCGGCCTCACAATCGCCCAAGACACGCCTGCATTGATTCTTCAACCCCCCCCCCTCCCCGCCCTCCCACGCCCGCTCAAGCCATGGACGGCGCACGAGGAAGCAATCGCCGCATCAACAGCTTGCAGGCCCGCGAGCGTCTGCAGCGAAGGGGCTCTTCGACCGCCCGCAACAAACGCCCCGTCCCTGCCCAAGATGCGTACCTCTACGCCCTGCGCGCCGCATATCTCGCATATCTCCTCCAGCCGCGCCAGAAACGGGTGCAGCATGTGCCGGCCGCTCCCAAGGCCGTGCAGCGCTCCTCGACCTCGGTCAATGATCTCCTCAAGGACTTCTCGCTGATTCGCGACTCCAAGAGCACTCGCTTCCCCCATGGCTTCATGGGCGAACTGGACAAGCGCATCACCAAAGTGCTCATGGGCGTGGAGCGCATGCCAGAGTACAAGGACGCCACCGTCAAACGCACCTTTGCCGTCTTCCTCAATGCCTTCAAGGACCCTTCGTTCCGCAAAAACATGGACAAGGACCGCCGAGTCGAGGATCTGTTGCTGATCTTCTACTCCAATGCCACCAAGGAGCTGCAAAAAGGAAAGCCTCCGGGCGACGACAGCTGGAAGCTCATGGTCGACCGACATGTCGCCCTCTTCCTGCGACTCATCAGCTCGACCCTCAAGGACAATGACTGGACCAGGGAAAGGCCAGAGCTCACCCAGAGACTGACGACCATGGAGAAGAAGCTCCTGGTCCACGATCAGGATCTCGCCTCGGAGAACCAGCGGAACGGCGGACAAGGCGGCACCACCGTCGAAGTCGAGATTCCACGCACCTACGAGGTCAAAGATATGCCACTAGTTCTCGTGGTATCGCGCATCTTCGGCATTGCCTACTCGGATGTACAAGCAGACATCAACCGATACAAAGCCGTGTGGACAGAGAAGGCAGCTCTGCAGGACCTCAAGACATATCAGGCCCACCTCAGCCTGAACAGCCAAAAGACGTTGAACAGCGACGACTTTGACCTCGACGAGGCGTACGAGGCGTGGAAGGACAAGGAGATTCCTGACCTCTCGCAAATGATCCTTGCCATCCTCCAGTCGAATCCTGAGCTGGCCAAGAGTTCGCCTGGAGGCTCTGTGCCGCAGTTCAAACCCCATCCGACGCTAGATCATGGATACGCCGACTCGTCAAGACAGGGCTCACAATCCTCGGAGGCTGGCTCGCCATACGTGGTTGATCAACCGGTGGACATGAGCCAACTCAACATTCGTGATGATTCGAGTGACGGCACATCGTACTCGTTCATCCCATCAGACCCTCGTGCCTACTATCGCGCCGTAGTGAAGGAAGCATTGACATACGATCTAGCAGACGCCAGCCAAAACGCAAATGACGAGACGAGCGAGACACCCTCAACGAAGCTGTTGTCGAAGCAATCTGTAGAGCTTCTCAATGAGATTGCAGTGCGCTGGCGCATACCTCATTTCTCTCGTTCTATCCTCTTCATGGACGTCATTCGGGAAAAGTACGTCAATCAAGAGATTGATTTGGATACTCTGGATGCCGCCTTCAACTATGTCAAAGAGCCACCACCACCACCAGATAAGAAATCCAACAGAATGAGTTACATTCCTGTACAGGACAACCTGTTCGATCGGACAAAATGGACAGTGCACGACTATGCTCTCAATCAGCAAATCTTGATGTCCCTACACGAAACTCTCTTGCGAGAACTCTTTGAGCTGATGATGTACGTATATGATGCCAAGCCTCCATCACTAGGGCCCGTCATGTACATCCTAGAGAGCCACATCTACGATGACCCAACTTTTCCTGGCACAGAGGAAGACATGGATCAATTCACCGAGCAGCTACGGGTGGCGCTGAGGCAAAAGGCTGGCGACGTATACCGCGACTTACTTGCGAAGCATATTCCTGATACCAAAGAAGAATGGGAGTTTTACCACGTCATCGAGCTGGGACGTGCGGTGGTCAAGCTGTGCGAACGGATACAAAAGCGATACCGCAAAAATCCAGAGATCATGGGCGTCAGTCCAATGATGTGTCTTGTTGAAGAAATGTTCCCTGCCTACGCTTCAGATGCAAGAGACTTGGTCGCTCGCATCATGGACGTGGCGCATAGTAAGAACGAAGAAGTGCCTGTGCAGGACGGATTCGACCTTTATAAAGAGCTGGTCGAGATACGGCGCATCCACAGCGATGCACTCCCTAATAGGAAGTTTGCTTTCAACATCGAGGGGCTACTGCAAGACTTTGTTTGGAGATGGATCGAAATGACTGACCAGAATCTGATTGGCTGGGTAGAGAACGCCTTCAAGGCCGACACATTTCAAATCCAGTCGCAGAATCCCATACCTACCGATGAAGAACGACATAGCGTCTCCGTCGTTGACATATTTCGCTCATTTAATCAAAGTATCGAGCAGATTGTCTCACTGAATTGGGATAATGACCTCCAGTACGCCAAGTTTATGACAGCATTATCCAAGTCGATTGGTATTGCGCTGGCGAGATACTGCGAGCTCGTGGAGCAGAAGTTCGCCAAGGAGATGGACCGCCTGACACCTGAGCAAGCAGCTGCCATGCGCCAGACAAGACAAGAGAAGTGGATATCCATGGCAAAAGACATGTACAACCAAAAGGAAAGGGCGGAGCCTTTTCAATTCTACCCAGAGGTGAGTTGTATGAGCCTGCAAATGTACCATGCTAACAGCCCTAGTCGCTTGTCAAACTCAACAACATTGAGTATGCGATGCAGCAGCTAGACAAACTGGAGCGTGAGATTGGCGTAGATGCTTGTGCGGAAGTAATTCATAAGAACACCCCGGCACCGGCACAACGTAGCCGAAACAACAACTTCGTCTTCACGATTAAGATCATTGAAGCTGAAGATCTCAAGGCTTGTGACATGAATGGCCTCAGCGATCCTTACGTCGTTCTGGGAGACGAGTACCAAAAGCGCCTAGCGAAAACGCGTGTTATTTATGGTAGCCTGAACCCGCGGTGGGACGAAACCATTGACATCACCACGAACGGCCCGTTGAACATTGTTGCTACAATCTGGGATTGGGACACCCTAGGAGATCATGACTGCGTCGGTCGGACCTCGCTCAAATTAGATCCATCACACTTCCGAGACTACATGCCTCGCGAGTACTGGCTGGATCTCGACACCCAAGGCCGCCTCCTACTACGAGTTAGTATGGAAGGTGAGCGAGACGACATCCAATTTTACTTCGGCAAATCGTTCAGAACCCTCAAGAGGACCGAACGAGACATGACACGCAAGATCACCGACAAAGTACGTCCATGACTTGACACCATCTATCCAACCTGCTAACTCTCTCAGCTCTCCTCCTTCATCAACGAAACCCTCTCCCGCCGTACCCTCAAAGCCCTGCTCAGCCGCGGCATGACCGTGGCCTCTGTAACTTCCTACTTTCGCGCCACTCGCCCCCAATCCGTTGCCCAAGGTCCTACACAAGCCGACATAACCCAAGCCCTCGGTCCTCTCTTCACCTACTTTGACGAAAACTTTGCCATCATGAAGCAAACCCTTACCGACGCTGCTATGATTATGGTTATGACGCGCCTCTGGAAAGAAGCCCTGGCAACGATAGAATCGCTGCTTGTGCCTCCTCTCTCTGACAAATTGTCCCAGCAACGGCCGCTCACGCAGCAGGAACTAGATATCGTCTTCAAGTGGCTGAAGATGCTATTCGACTTCTTCCATGCAGCGGACGAAGAAGGGAATGTCGAAGGTGTGCCCATGGACGTCCTCAAATCACCCAAGTACCACGAGTTGCAAAACCTAAACTTCTTCTACTTTGAAGCTACAGAGGACTTGATCCGCACGAGCGAATCCATGGCTGCAGCCAGCGCACGGCGTCAACAAGAAACTGCACAGCGCCTGAACCGCCAGTCTGCGCCCCCGAACCTCGGACATTCCTTTGGCGGCGCAGCAGGACTCGTGGGTATGCCGACGCGCAAACACAAGACTATCATGTTGAGTCGCAATCTGGGCACCATGCGCAAGGCCAAGGAGGAAAAGAGGAAGGAAGCCCAGGCGGAGCCGAATGATGATATGATTCTGAGGATTCTGAGGATGAGACCCGAGGCTGAGAGGTACTTGAGAGATCGTAGTAGGCAAAAGGTATGTTCATTCTTCCATTTCACGGCATGTCGATATTCTACAAGACTCTGTTACAAGAGAAATGGACAATCCAGCTAATAATTACCCACTAGGAACGCCTGGCCGCCGCCCAAGCCGCAGAAATGATTGTGCGGCAAAGTCTCAGTTCAGGCGGTGGCGGTCGTATGACTGGTGGAGTCGGCATCGCGGGGCCACGACGATAGTTAACGGTAGTAGTCGAGGCTCCGTGTCTACGCCTCAGTTTTCTTTCTTCCCTTTCATTACCGGACAAGCGCGGCCCCTGACTAAAACCCCCCTTTTTTTTTCTCCTTTCTCCTTTTCTTGTCTCTAATCTCTACTCTTACTCTCATACTTTTTTATTTAGCGGAGTTGTTTTCTTCAATCATGTGGGTGCGCTTAGGTTGTTGATTATTCTTCTCTTTTTTTGACTGTCGGCTTGCCTTCATGGGTTGTGTGTGTGATGGATACCTTTATATTTGCATCTTCTGTGCTTTTTCATCTTCGCTCGGATAGGGGATAGGGATAGGGGTGGGGTTACAGGATGCATTCGTTGTAGGGGGTTTGTTGGCGTTTGAGAGGGAGTTAATTTTCGTCTGGTGCGGGTATGATGGCGGGCACGCTGTGTCGTGATGCTGCGTCTTACTTGCCCCAATGCGGCGCCTACAGCATAGGAATACCAGACATTCCAGCTTCTTCACCTTATTCGGCGGGCTCATCTACCTATGCACAGCAATGTGGCTGCTGTGTGTGTGTGTGGCGGGGGGGGGGTCTGTGTAGAAACTGCAATGCATGAGTTTACGATGTTGGACTATGTTTTCGCCATTGCGTGTGCTAAATGCCCACGCTTGGATGTGGCCTTGATGCGAAAGACAGCGGTGCCCAGTGTGGTTGCGTTAAACTGTCAAGGAACCTTGTCAAGGGAATGTAGATACGCTTTGATTGTCTTTTTTTAACCATTCGCTTGCATTCTTGTACTCCAGTAAGTAGGTACCCAAGGAATCGCACGCCCCATGCGTGTGCGCCACCAAGGACATGTCGGGTTTCTTTTACAATCAAATCAAAGCTGTGTTATCAAGTGTTCCCTATCAAAGGATTTTTGTGCAGTTGATGTTGATTGGCGCGTTGTAGGTGGGGATCCGTCCGGGCATGTGATGGTGGGGGATGGAGTAACAAACGGTACGGTATTACTACCGCGTGGGTATAGTAAGCCGCACGAGCATGCAGGCATCAAAAGTCTCGTTTCTTCTCATGGAGCGAAACGGGTTGGACGTATTGTGAGGGTTTGTTGTGGATGGTCCGTTGAGCAGTGTTTGGTTGGTCTTGGATTCAGGTCCCGGTACCAGCACACCTACCGTAGCTCGCGTGGCGACGATCCCGATAACTTCAACAAGCTTCAACGCTCACCCCATCCCTCTAACCCATACTACTACCCTCCCATCAAACCATGTACCCAAGCTACCCACACCTCCCAACCCCCACACGGTCCTGCATCGGTGCCTATCACAGCACCAATATTGTACATAACAAAGAACCATCCCCATCAAGCACAATCACATATGTAAACCCCCTCCCTCCCTTCCCCGCCCACACCCATCCTCGGTCCCACCACCCCCCCCCCAAACCGGCCCGAGACGCACACCCAAACAACGGCCATCATATGTCTTCCTCTCTCTGCCCCAAAACAGCGGTCAGATCCCACTTCCCCCACCCTATCGTTCCCACCTCCGACATCTCCCTCGCCCACGTTACAGAAGAACGATTGTGCAAAGTTCCGTCCGCCGGCAAACTCCATATAGAAATGGATGCATGGATGGGATAATCGAAACGAGCCATGACGGTTTGACCTTTCCCTCGGGTAGGCCCAGTGCACGTGTCAGCCTCGTGTCTGGCCATTCAGGTACGAACCGGAGTCTGGGGACTAGGGGAGGGCGGCACTTCTGAGCTGTGGACTGGCATGTACCTATACAGCGTGCAGAGCTAGGCGCGAGGTCTTGTGCGTACAGAAACTGGGTCCCTGGTGGGCTTTGCTGGAGTTGTGTAGGCGTGTGTGGGATATCTATGTGGGATAAAGTTCTGCGGGTGAGGCAATATACCATGGGATGATATGTGTGTGTTGTTTTCGGCGAGACTGTGAGGGTCGATCGGGAGAGGGGGGGGGGGGAGGTGGGTGGGATTACGGAGGAAGTTTCTCTTTCTCCTTGGTCAATGTGCGACGTTTACATTGTGGGTTTTTTGCTTCTTTTTTTCTTCTTCTTGAATCAAGCTTCTTACGTTTGTGGGAAAAGGCCTCTTTTTATACGTTTTGCGTAAAGGCTATGTTGTTGCTGGTGTTGTGTGGCAGAGCATCATGCGCACACTCTCGTTAGCCGTTGTGCTGCTGGGGGCTTCGTCGCCAGCACTTGGCGCTGCGTTTTCTGCTGAGACGCCCGGTCGAAGCGATGATCGTTCCGGAGCGCGGGTGGGTGAGCGAGCAAAGGACCGCATGGTGGTGGTGGTGATGTGTATTGTGTATACGTTTTTGCTGGCGACTGTTCAAGGTGAGTTGCACGCGTGTGTTGGTGTTGGTGTGGAGAAGTTAGGTCAAGATCTAGTCTATGACCACCGGTCGCCACCTATACCGGTATACCTACGGTACATGCCTCACAGCAAATGCACTGACAGCGATATGTGCTAGGCTATCGATTCGGTCGTGTGGCTTGTAGCAAGCCAGAGACCAAGGTCTCGGATGTGCTGGTCTTCACACAGGGTTTCGTTAGTATCGCGTTTATCCTAGCCATAGGCGTCAAGAGTGCTGTCCTTGGTGCGGAAACAGATTCGCAATGCCATGGTGCTATCTGGCTCTGTATCGGACTATACGGCGCGTCGAAGATGGTCTTGTAAGTTTCAACATACCGTACATATCGACTGAGTTTGCTCCCGCTCCTAGAAACGCCACTAAAACAACAACAACACAGATATCTCTTCCTCCTCGAGCGTATCCATATTGTGCGAGCGCCCTTTGTAGACCGTCGACGCGACTCCATCTATCTAATGGGGACCATTGCAACCGTAGCCCCCTTCTCCGTTATCTTGGGCTATGAATTCAAAGACCCCATTGCCGAGCTCTCCTCCAAAACAGGCCAATGCAGAATCGGCTTGCAACCCTACGCCGCCATCGCCATCATGGTCTTCGACATCATCACCAACATCCTACTAACCGCCATTTTCGCCTGGCAGCTCCGCCCCGCACTGAAAGCCGCAGATCCGCCTCGCACGTCCTGGCACACGCATGGTGCGCGTGGCGAGCGGGAACAGGCCTCACTGCTAAGCAGTATACGGTGCATATTCAGAGTGGGGAGGGCGGATTCGGGAAGAATGAGTATGCGCAGTAATATACGCATTATGCTGGTGAGAAACGTGGTGGGTTCGAGCTTGATTCTGCTGGTAACCGCGGCGAATAATATCATCTACCTCGCATGGCGTTCTGCGATTCTGAGTCATATATGTCTGCTCATGTGTATGACCGATGGTTAGTGACACCAACCCCCCTCCCCTCCCTCCCACGGCCGGGCATACACCGCACGACGTTACTAATGAATTGGTTGGCAGTGGTGCTGTGTATGCTCATTACCAATTGGTTGACCATGCGATATCCCAGGGACAATGCAGATTCTCAATGTCCCTTCACCTTCACGATGCCGGATCTGCCGTACGATGGGACATGTAACCCGCGCTATGCTGCGTCGTCACGCCCATCGAATCATAGTAGGATAGATGAAGGCGGAGAGCGGTCGTTGCAGCTGGCACCGCAGGTAGAGTACCCTCCCAATGTCAACGCTAGAGATTCAAAGATGCTTCATGCCAGCTTACGCCTCGATACCCACTAAATAATGTACCAATACTTATGGATTCTTACACGCTTGAGAAAGCTTGTTTCAGCGTCTGATTTTATCTTGACGTTGTTTTGGGTGTGAGGATCCTGTTGCTATTAAACACCTCACTGCTTTCCCGCATAAGCCCCTTCTCCATACCACCTTCACCTTCTATCCTATCAAAAGCATAGTAACATAATAACCGTAGACGATGTCGTTTCTGAATAGCATGATAACATGCGTATGCGTATGGCCAAAAGCAGAAACATACCCAGCCCTCATCAAACACAACAGCCTCTGTACCCTTACCACTCTGGCCTCACAATCGCATTGAGAAGATAAAAAGCAAGTCTCCTACATATCCTCGCACACGAGCTGCAAGATCCAGGATTTTAATAGCATTCCGTCCGGCATTAACCCGCCAGACACAAAATCTTCAAGCACACGATGATGGTACAATACCATTCACCTGGTTTAGACCTGTTTATGCGCATACATGATTACACATTCAAACACCGCGAAGAAAGACAATTTTGCTATAAATTACATGGTATCTATTACAAGTTTGATATCTACTTTCTAAGCCTGTGTTGGAACAGGACTGGCCACATTCATATGTTTTCTGCCTGCTCGCTCAGCGGCCAACGAGCACATCTACGTCAATCCCGTCTGGGACGGGCATACACCGCACACATACACACGCCAATACACACGATGGACAACACACACGCAGAGACGCACAACATACAACATGTACGCACCTCGCCCAAACGCCAGTCCATGCAAAGGCCCCATGCAATACACATCCCCTCCATCCCCCACCCCACCACTTAGTCTATAACGAAAACCTTCACCCTATAGCACCAGATATACAAATACATCCAACATCTTGTCCGACGCCCAGAGAATACCACGCACCCCCGCCTCTTGACCGCAAAATTTTAATCTTTTATACGCAAAACCAAAGTAACAAGGAAACCACCTTGGAGAAGCCAATGATTTGTAGCAGTAGGTAGTACAATGAGATAAAAGACTAGTTACTCAATCAATACTTCCTCTTCCTATGCCTAACATGTGGATCCTGGCCCTTGCGATTTCTCCGCTGGCGATCCGTTGGCGGGCGCCAAGCCTCCTTGCCAAACTCCTCCCTGTACAGAGCCAGCATATACTCGTCTACATGGCGTCTCACAATCTCTTCGCCCTCGCGGCGCATGTCCGCATTCTCCCTTGTGCCACCAGCAGCACCGCCCGCAACACTCGTCGCACGTGTAGCCTGCAAGCTCTCGTTGAAATCCACCTGGTCCTCTTGGATCTCGTCCACTATTTCCTTTTGCGCAAGTGAAGCGGCCGTGAGGTCTTCCGTGTCTTCGACGGCGCCCATGACGCGGCTGTCGCCGAGGAGGCCGGCTTTTTCACCGAGGACGCGTTCCATGGCCGCGCCGGCTTCGTCGGTCGTGTCGATGGGGGTTTGGGTGTCAAGGGCGTCGCGCCAGGTCACGCGGTTGAAGGTGTCGGTGGTGAAGTCTCCCTTTTGGATAATCACATCGTCGAGCAGACGCTTTTGATTGCTCTTGCGCAATATGTTGGCTTCGATGGTGTACTCGCTGACGAACTTGTATATGTGTACGTCGCGCGTTTGGCCGATGCGATGGGCGCGGTCTTGGCATTGTTTGTCCATGGCCGGATTCCAGTCTAGGTCGTAGAAGATTACTGTGTCAGCACCCGTAAGATTGATACCTAGTCCACCAGATCGCGACGAGAGGATGAAGGCGAGGATCTTGGGATCAGAATTGAAGCGGTCGGTGAGGATCTGGCGTTGTTCAATCTTTGTAGAGCCATCGAGGCGCAAGTACCGGTGTCCGTGGATATTGAGAAACTGCTCAAGGATGTCGAGAACTTTTGTCATCTGCGTGAAGATCAAAGCGCGGTGGCCGCCAGCTTCCAGATCCCGGAGGAGAGTGGCGAGGCGTTGCAATTTGCCGCAATCATACTGGAGCAACCGTTTGTCGGGGAAGGCGATGGATTGCCGGATGCGAGGGGAATGGAAGGGGTCGCGTTGGCGAACTAAGGGAGAGGATCTAATGAGGTCGACGCTACGTTTTGAGAGAGACAGAGGGACGAGTTCTTCGGCGGCGACGGCGGGCGTGACGCAGGTGAAACGGGAGATGAGGGGCTCGAGAGCTTCGGCTCGTTCTTCAAGGGTTGGTATCATGTCGTAGAAATGGGTTATTTGCTCATTTAGCCAGGTAGCCTTGACAGCAACAGAGCGCGGAGATCTGAAGCCTAGCCTGCCACGTTTTGGCAGGAGGGGCACTTCTTCTGGGAGTTGCTGTGCGCTCTTGTAAGTTACATGCGCCTGACCAAATTGAGGGCTGGGTTGAAATCGATTGACTGGCTGTGACCTGGAATACTTAGTAGGAGGCAGGAGATCCAACTTTGGTTTTACGGATTCGATAGCGCCGAAAGTATAGTCGTGCCAATCCACCTTCACAGCTTCAATACAATCTTTGCCATATATTGGCAGAAATTGTGTGCGCGACCGAGTCAGCTCCAAGCATGTCTGCAGATGGTCCCGGACGGAGACCTGTTCCTGCCGTGCCATCGCCGACATTGCTGATTGCAGCGAGGATGTACTCGTGGCTGAAGGTTCGTTGAGGCGACGTGTCTGACGCTCGATCAAATCCTTCAACGGCCGCGTTGCTCGTATTGGGTAGGTACGGATGGCATGTCCCTTCGAGGTTTGCTCACGCCGTGCGAATAGTAGATGCAAAGCGTCCAGATTCACCTGTTTTTCGTCCATACCTTCTTGCATCCGTTTTCGGATGAGTAGATCTTTGATTTCGAATTGAGCTGCAACGGACTTGGGCATAGCCATGGACGTGACAATCGCTCGCGTCTCGAAGAGGTCAGGGTGATTGCACACTTTGCGTAGCGACATAAGACAGTTGATAATGGACATGTAGTTGCCCGAAGATAGAATCTCTTTTGTCGAAGCCCGTCCCATGAAGCCATCGTACAGTTGACGTTGCCTCTTGGAAAGTTTGCAGTACACGACGTGTTCATACTTGCCAGGCATCTGCTTTTCGACTTCGGACTTCAAGCGACGTAGTAGGTAAGGTCGGAGGACTTCATGGAGCTTCTTGACAATCTTCTGTGCCTCGGCATCAAGCTGTTGTCGACCTTGATCAAGAATTTGCGATGTGGGGTTCTTCAAAGCCATAGTGAATTCTTCCAAACCAGCAATTCGACCTTCGCCAGCAAAGCCAGCGGGCATCAGAAAATACAGTAACGACCAAAGCTCGTCAATGTTGTTCTGAAGCGGGGTCCCTGTGAGTAGCAATCGTCGTTGTGTCCGCAGGTTCAGCATCGTCTGCCAACGCTGCGATTTGAAATTCTTGATGTTGTGAGCCTCATCCAAGACAAGGTACTGCCAAGGCCGCATCTTGAAAGCTGCCGCGTCTTGAAGGATAAGTTGGTAGGACGTGATGACCACATTGTACATGTCCTTGCCGATGTTGCGCCATCCCATCCGTTTTCGCTTGCGCTCATTGATGTCGCCGTAATATGTCAAGATTTTGAAACCTGGCAAGAATTTCTTGAACTCCATTTCCCAGTTGAGCATGACACTCGTAGGTACCACTACGAGATGCGGACCCCAAATTTCTCGGCGTACGGCAAGGTATGCTAGAAGCGATATGGTCTGTATGGTCTTGCCCAGACCCATCTCGTCAGCGAGGATGCCGTTGGTCTCGGATTCATATAGGTTGGCGAGCCAGTCGAGTCCGTCATGCTGATACTCTCGAAGAGTACCACGCAAGAGGAAGGGCACTTCAGTCCGTGCTGGTGTTGAGGTCTGTCGAGAATGGAAGATACTTGTCTCTTGTTCGACCTTATCTTCGGGTGATGCTTCGGATTTCTGAATAGACTGCGGTGTTCTGGGTCGCTCCGACTCGCCATTTACGCGAGACTCATTCTCATCTGCATCAGGGTGAGCATGTCCATTGGAGTGCAGCTCATTCTCGAGTCCCTGCACGGTTGTGCTTCCATGACCGTTAGTCTGCTCGACAGTTGGCGCTACATCCATGGTGTCTTCGTCGTTCACCGCAGTCTTGGCAGCCTCTTTCAGTTTCTTAATGTCTTTTGGAGCCAAAAAACCCATCATTCCCAGATCTTCGCCTTCACTGCCATCATTGGATTCGGCCACTGAATTGGTAGTTTCGTCATCGTCCATGTCGTCAGCTTCCGACTCGGCATCACTTGACCATGCCTCACTACCAGATCCAGAGGCCTTGTCTTCATCCTCTGAATCAAGTAAGGCTTCATCGACCTGTTCAAGCTCAACGGTAGCGGGATCGATGTACCCTGGCTTTTGTTCCACATCAGAGCCCTCGTGTTCGTGCACGCCATTGGTGTGTGTGAAACGGTCATCTTTTAGTTCTGGGTCCGGAGTAGGTGCTGGCGTTTGCTCATCCTCGTCTTCATCGTGCTCGTCATTGCTCTCGTCCATCTCCACTTCCGAACTGCTGTCAGGAAGATCTGGGAGTCGTTCGTACTTGGCACGCAATTGTTCGGCCGTGAGATTGGCGTCCTCATCTTCCTGGTTTTCTTGTTCGCTATCCGAGCTCGACGACATAACATCATCATCCTTCTCAGACCGAGCAAGGTCTGAAGTTGCGCTTGCAAACTCGTCCTCGTCGCCATCGAAATCGCGGTCGTCGCTCACCAACGAGGAGGCACCGTCATTGACATTTCGGCCCAAAATCTCTTTTGCCTGCAAAAACATGTCATCCATGGCCCTCTGCCCGAGCTGCAGTTGTTCTTCTTCCCACTTCGCCACACGCTCCTTGTCGATTTCCACCTTGACTAGTCCCCATGCATCTTTGACGTCCTTTACAAGCTGCCGATAGCGTATAATTTGCCGCTCTGCCTCCTCCTGGTCGATTTCTTCCTGACTCTTGCGTTTGAATTTGTTCTTCCAGAACTCGTAGGCCTCTCTTGCCAGCGTCTTCGCCACCCTTCGATGCACAACCTTCTCCTCCTTGAGTAACTTGTTGAAGGTCAGCGCATGTGAAACTACATGATCCCAATGGCCGTATTGCAGGGGTGGCTCTGGTGCTGGTTCTGGCGCGAAGACGCTACATCTTGCCTCGCTCAAGACTCCATGCTCGGCGGCATCAACAATCCGCAGGCGACGCTCGGCTTCCTCCTGTGCCTTGTCATGTGTTATTCGTTGTGCCTCTTCACTTTCGAGCGGATCGTCTTGCACCAGCCACTCATCGATGGAAGTGTATTTGGTCTTGGGCGGAGCGTGCTGTGGATGACGATTCGGGGGATCGGGCTTGCGGAACTTGAGGCGGAGGCGTGGTGCTGGTGCGGAATCGTCAGGCGATGCGTACAGACCGGCTTCAGGATCATGGCCGTTGGCGCCGGGGGCACCGTCGTCTTGGTCAGCGTCATCGTGCGATGCCTGTCGTGTTCTACGAGAGCGGGCCGATCGCTTGCGAGTATCTTCCGAGACGCCTTTTTTCTGGTGCGCAGGTGAGGCAGGAGACGAGGTTTGTGCGGAGGCAGCACCCCTTCGTTGCCGCTCCGACTTGCGCGCCGGCGTGGCCAGCGAAGCAGTCGATGCCTTCTTCGCAAGCGTCGGTGTTGCCTTGGCCTTTGCTACACCCGATGCACTGCGCGCTTCCCGCTTGACGCCATTCTTGGGGGTGCCATTCGTCTGTGTTGCCTTGGCTGTGGGGCGCGAGTTCCGCTTTACAGGTTCAGGCGTTGGCGGTGCAGTTTCGCGGTTGACGCGTGACGACTTCCTGACGCCATTTTCAAACACCGTCGTAGGCCCCTCGGCAGAGAATGACTTCCAGGGTGGCGATACAGCGCGTGAGAGGGAGCGATGGGGTGTTGTCTCTTCCACCCTGCGCCGCTTGGCCGGTCGTTCGATGACGGCACCACCACCATCGTCGCCACTGGGAGGCAGTGAGCGTTCTTCTTCTTGTTTGATCAGTGTAGGCGTGTCCGTCTGCGTCGCCGTGCCATTCGGTCGTGTGTCGGGCTCGCAGCAAGCGTCGGGCGCGTCGGCGGGGTCGATGTCAATGTCGCGGTGCGCGGGCGTGACTTGGTCCATTCAGGAAGGGCGAGGGATGAGGCCTAGGAAGCCTGGAGACCACCCGGCGCACTGCCAAATCGACATATATTGGCCCAAGTATGGTATCAAAAGATGGGCTGGAGTCTGGGGATGACGGTGATGGGGTCAGATTCCGAATTAGGGTCCGCGTTGGGCAGATGCGGGCTGATGAAGTGATTTTGCTGTGTCGTGTTGTGAGATCTCCAAAACTCGAAGAGCCGACGTTAGAGTAATGTCAGGATGCTACTAGAGTACTCTACCATAGGCACGCTAAGCACGGGCGCAAATCCTCCACAGAGCAATTGAAAGCACGTCCACGCGACAGTTTGGTGACGATATTATTCTGTCCTGTGAAGAGAGATTTCAGGGTATTTTGGTTGTCATGGCTGCCAATTCGTTGGAGCTTTTGTCAATACCGTATGCCCGATACATTAGAACAAGCGGCGCGTCCATGTTGTGACATCGTTCAGCCCAATACGGTTAGACAACAGGTCGGTCTTGGCAACCTCAGTGACGGTGCGCTGACATCCATGGACGCCGCGGTTGCGACAACGACACTCCAACCTCATCACGCATCGCTCCCTCACCCGCCTTTGCGCCACAACGTATGCCATTGCCCTATCCACGCCATTCTGTAGCTTCCTGACGCCCCTACAGCATGTTTTCCCGGCGCATTGTAGCGGCCCGCCCGCTGGCTCGAGCCTTTGTCCCCGCAGTAGCCCGACCCCGACCGCAGTTCACCCAGATCCGCACAGCTCTGACTGACGCTGAGATGATTGAGCTCGCCGACCCTAACCAGGTGAGACTATGAAAATGGCATCCCACGCTGGTTCTGTTGTTGGATGCTGATGTCTGCAGAACGGCGGCTACATCAACCCGCCAGCTGAAAAGCGTGGAAACCGCGACCCGTACGGCGACTGGTGGGACAAGCAAGATCGCCGCAACTTTGGCGAGCCCTGCCACGAGGACCACGATATCTTGGGTGTTCTGGCTCTGCACGACTACAACCACTTTACGCCAGGCTGGGGCGCCGTGTTGATGGGTACCTTCATTGCATCCGTCCTGGGCCTCTGCGGTGCCGTCAGCATGGTCTACCCCGACAAGATCAGTGCTCCAAGGACATTCCCAGACGGTCTGGACGTGGAACTTGGAGGCAGGGGAGCTCTGAGGGTGAGTTTCTAGTCCCTCATCACAACAGGCGTATTGCTAACGAAGCTATCAGGCAAGGAAACCAGATGAGGCTACCTGGTAGACAACGAATGAGACTGGCTGTATATATCATCCCAAGAGAGTTTTCACTTTTGACTACAACATCGCATCACCCGTCTTATATATCTAAGCCGCGTCTAGTACTTGTTTTGCTATCTTGGCCATATCGTCCTAATCCAATATATATTTCATTCAGTGGCTGTGGAATGAAAAGAGTAATCCATGTGGCCCAAGTAAGGTTGGAAAGTCTCAATTCCATTCACCTGATCAAGTCACAGCATAAGTCACAAATATGTTTCTCCGATTATGGCTGGATTTCTTCATGCCCGTTGCAGTTGCTCGCACGAGCTAGGCATTGATTCATTTCAAGCCGTCATGTCTTCACTAACGATCGAACTTACTCTTTTCCCCACTTGAACTTGCAGGACAGTTCGCCGTCCAGGCCCTCCTTAACAAAATTATAAGCCGATACGAGGGCCATGTCTCATGAGGCGGCCCAACGGCTGTAGTATTCACCATAATCAAAGTAAAGCACATTGAAGTATTGATTGTTTCTGGTAGTGATACATCTACAGCCCACCCATTCAGCGTACTCAGTAAACGTATATGACTGTGATTAACGCGGAAGTCAGTAAACAACCCAATCCAGAATCTGGCAAAATAAAAAGGGAACACTCACAATCTTCATTCTGCATATCCGTCAAATCCGAGAATCCTAAATCTCGCTCCTGCCGTCCACCTTCCACTTCTCCGCTCTCCAGCTCGACGCCCTTACCCTGCACCATCTCGTTCTTCTTCAGCATACTCTCATCGATCCTCACCGCACTCTTCCCGAGTGCCTCCCTCCTCTTCGCATGCCTCTTGTTAAGCAGCGCCAAGTACATGGGAATCAGCATCGCGATAATGGCCACGAGAATGAACATGACGAGATTAGATATCAGCCCGGGTCGGTATAGTGGCGCATCGTCGACCGAGTACAGTAGCGGCCCAATGACATTGCCTGTGCACATGCCGATGAACACCATGGCCGACGTGCACTTTTTCTTTGTATCGCCCGCCGTGTTCTGCACGTGCCATGTATAAATGATGGGCGTGATGGCGGCAAGACAGCTCACGAGGTAGTATCCGAATAACAAGGCGCCCTTGTGCTTGCGAGGCACCGTGAGCATCATGACTGTGCCGATAATCGGCAATATAGCGACCAGCGAAATCGCCAGGCCCTTTTGCTTGAATCTCGTCGCACCGTACGACGATCCGAGAATGGCAACGATCTGGATAACGCCAAAGGGGATATTGAATAGAATCGATTGAAAGTTGGTATACCCAAAGTCTCTTATGATCAGGTTTCCAAACGTCGAGATGCCGCCGCTGGCAATGGAAATGGCAATGATGGCGATGAACCAACACCAGGTTTTGAAGTCAATCAGCGTTTCCCAGACCTGTTCCCATTTCCAGTCGCCAGACTGGATGCCCATCTGGTTGGCGCGGAGCCGCTCAACGGCAATGATGCGTTCGCGTTCGGACAGATACTTTGCCTTCATCGGGGAATCTGGCATGAAGACCAGGACAACGAAGGCGTAGACGACGGTCAGAAGACCACAGAAGAGGAAGATGATTTGGTACTTGAACATCGTTTCGCTGTGGATATGGCCAAGTCCGTAGGTGAATAGCGAGCCGACAATAAAAGTCACACCGTTCATGGCGTTCCAGTAGGCAGTGCGTAACGTTTGCTCGCTGCGACGCCACCACATGGTCGTGGTAGCGACGCAGGCGGGGGCAATCATTGCTTCAAAGGAACCGAGGACGAAGCGGAGACCGAGGAGGGATGGGAAATCCGTGCATGCGGCCATGATGGCGAGACTGCTGCCCCAGAGGAAGATGGCGGCTGCGATTACTTTTCCAGTGGGTAGCTTGACGAGAATGAAGGCTGCGAGAGGTTGCATGACGAGCTGGGCAAGATAGAGAATAGAGCCTAGCCATGAGTATTGACGGCCGACGAGCTTGGCGTCAGCTTGAAGACCAAAGATAGAGACGTAGGAGAGAGAGGATTTGTCGAGTTGTTGGAAGAAGTAGGCACCCAGGAGGAGGGGGAGGACGCGGAGGTCGATGCGCCGTAGCACCGCCCGCTCTTCCTCATACGTGAAGGACGATGCATTTGCAACATGGGCATTGGCTAGGAATTGAGCAGCTGTGTCTGGTTTCACGATATTGCGTACAGGCGTAATGTGCTCGACATGCTCAATGGCATCTTTGGTGTTGCCTGGGGTCGTCATGTTCGCGGAAAGTGTTGGTGAGCTGTGTCCAGACGGTGTCTCTGGGGCCCCTCACTTATCACTCATAATCCATGTCCCAATACCGTAAACCGAAGGTTTGGGATAAGAAAAGGATCCTAACCACGTGATGGTTCGATGCCTGAACAGGTTGCTGTACGGGAGAAAGTCCACGTATGAACGTCGAAGGAATGAGGCCCGGCCACATGCTGGTCTCACTGATCTATGAATTTCATGTTGCAATGATCTCCCCGCATCAAGGTAGTAGATCGTCGTTGGATAAATTCGCTCTCCCCACGGGGTTGGACATGGTGGGGCCTGTCGTGAGAGGTGTGCTTACTGTTGAACCAGCGGCTAAATTCATGATCGACGAGATTGTGTAGGTTTCGGAGCATCATCCGCCGAGAACGAGGGGGTTTAGCGGGATCGCATTACCCGAAGTCATACCGTGGGACGATTTCCTTCTTAAGCAGTGGCTGCAGCTTGGTATCTTGGTCGTTGGCAACCTTGAACCGACTTCTTGATTCTTAAAAAGCAGCATGGCAGAGACGAAATCGAAGCAGAAGAAGTACGCCCTTATCGGCACGGGAGGCCGATCTTCATTTTTCTACTCTGCAATAGCAACGGCCTACAAAGATACATCAGTTGTAGTAGCATTATGTGACACAAACCAAACGCGGTTGGATTTTGCAAACGAGCAATTACAAGCTCTCGGCCATGCAAAAGTGCCTACCTTCAAGGCTGCAGACTTTGATCGAATGATCGAGCAGACAAAACCAGATGAAGTCATCATTACAACTATCGACCGGACGCATAACATTTACGTCGTAAGAGCTCTGGAATTGGGATGCAATGTGGTGACCGAGAAGCCCATGACGATTGATGCCCCTCGATGTCGGGAGATCTTCGATGCTGTCGAGAGGACTGGCAAGAAAGTACGCGTCACCTTCAACTACCGTTATGCACCACACAATACCAAGGTCTGGGAGATCCTGCGCTCCGGCGCCGTTGGCACAGTGACCAGTATACATTTTGAGTGGATGCTGAATACTTCTCATGGGGCCGACTACTTCCGACGCTGGCACCGCGACAAACGCAACAGTGGCGGTCTGCTAGTCCATAAGAGTACGCATCACTTTGACCTGGTGAACTTCTGGCTCAACTCGAGCCCCGAGACAGTTTACGCACAGGGTGATTTGAAGTTCTACGGTCGTGAGAATGCGGAGAAAAGGGGTGTGACAGACTTTTATACCCGCGCACACGGGAGTGAAAAGGCAAAGAATGATCCTTTTGCGCTGCACATGGAGACAAACGAGAAGCTGAAGAGAATGTATCTGGATGCGGAACATGAAGATGCGTACTACCGGGACCAGAGCGTCTTTGGAGATGGAATCAGCATTGAGGATACCATGAATCTTCTCGTACGGTATAAGAACGGTGCCGTGCTGACGTACTCGCTCACGGCCTATGCACCCTGGGAAGGATTCCGCGTATCTTTTAATGGCACTGGCGGGCGGTTGGAAATGGAGGTCGTGGAGAACAGTTACGTGAACAGTGGCGGTGATCAGTCTTTGGAGGGAAGCCTAGAGACTCGCTCCATCACGTTGAGAAAGCTGTTCGAGAAACCTCAAGATGTTGAGATTCCGGACAGCGTAGGAGCTCATGGAGGCGGCGACGAAGTGCTATTAGCAGACTTGTTCGGTGAACAGGGAGCGGAGATCAATCAGGATATGAGGGCTGCGACGCATGTCGATGGGGCATTGTCGATACTGACGGGTGTATGCGCAAACAAGAGTATCGCGACAGGCCAGGTAGTAAAGGTTAGCGATGTATTTGTGATATAGGATTCATCAAGAACAGAGCAGACAACATAGACAATAACCACATGGGAGGGTCGTCACTAAAGTGTCTTCATCTCTACCCAGCATCGAAATGTTTCGCAGGGGGTGCTTCTGGAGTGACACCATGTAGAGCTGGTCGAGGTCGTGCACACTATTGCATATACTGATGCACTCCAATGCTCATAGAGTGAGTGAGTGAGTGAGTGAGTGAGTGAGTGAGTGAGTGAGTGAGTGAATGTTTCGCTACTAGCACGGCACATGACTGGACACGAAAGTCGCGAGGGGCCGAGAAAAGGTCTGTGCACGAGACCTTTCCTAATTTGTCGCAAGTACCGCTAACCTGGAACGCGCCCTTTGAAGGTTGGACGCCGCACTTTCCCTTTGACAAACCCATCCTCGCGGTCATCCATCCCTCTGATCACTACGAACTAGGTCTCACGCAATCTTGGACATGTTTTCCTCACCTGAACTGTCTCTGCCAGCCCTATGTCTACTTTCCGCGGGATAGTTGCAGAGTTCCCGAGAATTCGCATCGACTATTTCCGCCAGCAAGCCGAGCACAAGCCGCCTTTGGCGTGCTTTCTCAGCCATGTTCACTCCGATCATCTGACAGGCCTCGAGTCTTTGAGGGCCCCGTTTGTGTATTGTTCGGCTGCAACGAGGGAGGTGAGTTAGAGAGCTTATCCCTTGCTCAGTGTGCGACTGATAGCCACCCTATCTACGTTTTGAGGTCCAGCCTTGATCACGCAAATTGTCGAATCCCTATGTTCGAGATCGCAAATCCTATCCTTGATTCCACTGACGTCCTGTACAGATCCTTCTTCGGCTAGAGAAGTACCATTATCGTATCAATTTTGCCAAGGGAGTTCTGGAAAGCCGCAATGTTACATACGACAGGTGCATGCGGAGGTTGGCCAAACCGCTTCCTCTAGATACGCCAACGACCATTGAGCTGGCCCCTGGAAACATCATAAGGGTCACGTGTATCGATGCTAATCACTGTGTTGGCGCTGTCATGTTTTTGATTGAAGGTGATGGCAAGGCAATCTTGTACACAGGTGATATTCGAGCTGAGATCTGGTGGGTGAACTCACTGGTACAAAATCCTCTGTTACTCCCATATACGCTTGGGCCTCGACGACTTGATTGCATGTATCTGGACACTACCTTCGCAACGAAGAGTGAGTCCTATCGAGAATTTCCAGGCAAGGCAGAAGGTATCAGAGAACTACTAGGTAAGCGCGACTCCTTTGGGATAAGGGCTTACACTTCAAACCGTGTGGCTGATTATGGGCAGCTAAAATCAGCAGCTACTCGGACGATACAATATTTTACTTTCATGCCTGGACTTTCGGTTATGAGAATGTTTGGATAGCACTTTCTAATTTCCTCAAATCACGGATCCATCTTGACGACTATAGATCACGTATATACGGCTCCTTGTCCACACTGACTCGGAAGGAGCTTGCAAATACTGGCTTGAATGTACCTTCCGACAATCGCTTGCTGCGGGAATCCGGTCAGGAAATTCGAGAAGCCCCTGCATTGTGTGGATTCAGGAATGGAAACCATGTCCAACCTGGATGTTTGACATCTCAAGAGGCCGTACGCATACATAGCTGTGAACGCGGAATGGGCTGTCGGGTTATGGATCAAGATGAGAGTGGCAAAGTGGTGCACATTTTCCCAATCATCACACGTACCAGAGGTGCTGAAATTGCTGAGCTTGGTGCTGGAGGTGGCCAGGGTGATCTCGATCAAAAGGAAGTGATAGAAACTGGTGATGTGGCGAATATACGTCAACTGATGGAGCTATGTTCAGTCTCAATCGAGGACAAAGAGCTTTGTACGAAAGTTCTTGCGCTGCTCGAACAAAACCTTCAAGAGGGAGCCAGCAAGCTTGGGGTTGATTTACAATTGCGGAATCGAAGTCAAGACAGCCTGAACCGCCCGTCCTTACGTGACTTGGTATCCATCCTGGTCTCTCGCGTTTCAAGCGAACCAATTGTCGAGCAACCACAGAACAAGAGTATACGATTTCCATACTCGCGGCATTCGTCCTACTCTGAGTTGCGCCACCTGGTAGCAGCTTTCAGGCCTTCAGACCTTTATCCATGCACCATTGATAATAAATGTTGGACACCAGAAATCAGTATGCGCAGTCTCTTTGGGGATCTTTGCTTCGGCAATGCCTTTCGCCATGATGCTGAACTCATGGAGGTCTACGACCGCAGGCAGAAAGCTGAGAAGATCTTCAAACGTGACAACTCTGGATCTTGGAGCGATATGGACGTGTCTGACAATGGCGTGGTTGATGCTGATATACCAGAGCGCGTTCCCATGATCGCTAAGAGGAAGGCCGAGGATATTGAGGTGGCAGCAGATCCGACCGCACGGTGCAAACAGCTCAATGTCGGCAAGGACAACTTTGCCGAATCCGAAGATATTCAAATGGGATCTTTACCTGATCCATCAAATGCGCACGTGGTATTGCTGGAGAGTCCAGACTGTATCCCCATGCATACAACAGCCGCTGTGGCGGAAGGAACGCGACCTATTCCGCTTCCAGTAACTCCTGAGGAAATCTTGAATCCGCTTCCACCCTCGGCAACTTCAATCGATATTACAACGTCGGAGCGGCACATGCACAGCAAGACGCCGAAGCTCAATCATAAGCAGCTTGCCTATAACGCTGCTTTGGGTACAGGCCTTACTTGGCATGATTACGGTGGTCTCGTCTCCACAAGAAGCAAGGCTGACCGAGAAGAGCAAGAGCTTTAGAAGGGAGGCTATTCATTTCATGCAGCGCTCACATCCATCACTATGATCAGATAGTGACTTTATGCTTTCTGCCTGACAGCTCAACGACTCAATTTCATTCGAGGGCTCGTCTCGTTATCGGTGCTATTTCAAGATTCGAACGCGACATGTGGAAAGCATGACAGTTGAACGTGGAATGAAAGTGGCAGGTGGCGTTGGTGATCCCTAGCAAAGGAATGCGAAAAGCGCGTTGGCGGTTGTACAACGAACCTCCAATCTCCAGTACCCTCCTCTCGATCCTCAACACTGTCATGCGAATTATTGCCCGAATGGTTGGGGCCTGTCTAGCTGTTTCGGTTCACTCATTCCTCCCTTAGCCACCTCGCGATATCTGCCATATCCCTTGCTTATCTGACATATATACCAAAGCCCTATCGACGAGATTGAAACTCTCTCTCCACGGGCAATCAGTCATTCGCTTATCTTTTTTGTTCTGCGCCCATAATGATGGCTCCTTCCTGCTCCCGAGCCGCTCTTCAGTTACTTACCACAGTCTTGCTTGTCAGCACCTTTGTAAACGCGGCAGCACTTCCACACCAGGTGCTAGATCCTCGCACACCCATTAATCACGATGACCAGCTCCCAGCGGAGGTTTCAGAAGCTCTTCGTTCTGGCGTGGGTGACGATGATGGCAACGTTTTCCGAGAAGTTGAAGATGCTTTCAGGTCCCGCAACGGATTGGAAGTGATTAGAGACTTTTTCGCACGTCTCTTCGGTTGGGACAACGACGACGACGAGTCTCCATCGGAACCATCGGTTTCTATCACACCTACAAGTGCAGCTGCAACGTCTGACCTGTCTCCTGTCAGTGGGACCACTGCTACGTCATCCCCTAGCGCCGAGATATCGATTCTTCCTGTAGGCCCAATGACCACTGCTATCAACGTCACATTGCCCGATCCAGTGTTCTCATCGCCAGCTTTCCTCAACTCGACCACCGGTCCCCTCCCGACAGCCGTACAAATCACGGATGAATTCAGCGCCATCCCCTTCCCTGGAGCTGGAACCAGCTTGCCTTCCAACAGCACTGCCACTATCAGTCTGGATATGACGAGTGTTATTTTGGTCACTGCGACCCTCGCCCCGTTACCGATGGGCACTGGTACCGGACTTTCCAACGCGACTGCAGCTTTCACTGAGATTCCGTTGTTCCCTAACAGCACCTCCACCTATACTATTATGCCCACTGGCATTGTCAGTATTGGTACTGGTCTTTCTATCATCTTCACAGAGCTCCCGCTCTTCCCCAACGTGACCAGCGGTCTCCCTGCACTGCCTCTCGGTACCGGCACAGCCGCCGGCACAGGCGCTCCAGTTTCATTCACGGAGCTACCATTCTACCCGAACGTGACCGGTCTCCCCTCACTCATTCTCAGTACTGGCACAGCCGTTGGCACTGGGTCTCCAGTTTCCTTCACAGAGCTTCCCCTTTACCCGAACGCGACCAGTGGTCTTCCCACGCTCATCCTCGGTACCGGCACGGCCCTTGGCACTGGCGCTCCCGCCTCATTCACGGAAATCCCACTCTATCCAAACGCGACCAGCGGTCTTCCCACGCTCATCCTCGGTACCGGCACAGCTGTTGGCACTGGCGCTCCAGTGTCTTTCACAGAGCTTCCCGTCTACTCTAATACGACCACCGTAACAACCACCGTCACGCCCCTTGGAACTGGTGCTGTCGGAACTGGCGTTGGCACCGGATCTCCCGTTGTCTTCACCGAGCTCCCAATCTTCCCTAATGTCACCACCCTCTTCTCTACCACCACCGTTTCTCTCGTCGAGACCGGATTGCCTCTACCCTCGCTTCTCCCCAACAGCAACGGCACCGCTCTGAACGACACCCCGTCTGCCTTTCCTGGTTAGTTAGGTTCCTCTCAATGTCACAAATCACGAATCATGTAATAGCTTGTTTTGGAGGCGCTGCGTTTGATTAGCCTTGTCTTATAGTAGTTTGTACCTACAAGACGTACAATTGGATCGGATCGGATCGTGAATCTCATAGTATCTGCCCTATAAATGTTACTTGCATACATACTATCTATAAATCCGTTCATGCATGACATCAAGCGCGCGATTCTTCACCCCCGCTAGAATGTTAACAATACTGACGCCATCTTTGCAGGTCTCCTCGCCCTTCGCCGCATATGTCAAGATCCGTCCATCAAGGTCATCACCCTTCCCCTCATCTCGCGCTTCTACGGCCCCAATGGATACCCAAGCCTGCAGGGATTCCCGGGCTGCACGGTGCCAAACGACCGACAAGCCATTCAAGCTCCAGGCCTCCTCAACTGTTCAGCCCTTGGAGCTGAAGTGCAACGATGCCAGGCATCAGGCCGAAAGGTGCTCCTCAGCGTCAAGGCTGATGGTCTCGAGGCCGTGGCTGGTAATGCTGATTTCGGCGACCCGAGCGTGGATCCATACCCCTTTGGTCCCGTCTATACAGATACCGGGCCCGTAGGGGCTACATATGACAATGTTAACACGGATGGTGCGGATGCAGATGATGATCTTGATAAGAGGCAGATCGATGTTAACATCAACATCAACATCTCTACTCAAAATGAACAGAACCGTCCTGGACGTCCGACTGATTTCGATGACAGGCGGCCCAATCGTCCGGAGAATACAAAGCGACCTGCTCCTCCCCCTCGGCCCAATGAGACTGGCGAACCTGGTCGACCTCAGCGACTCTCTTTCTCTTCTGTGCCCGTTTCCACTTCGTCGTCTACAATAAGGGCATCGGTGTCTTCGAGCCGTACTCCTGTAGTTTCCGACCAGTCTCCGGTCTTTGAGACTATGATTTCCGTCGTCCTTCCTCTGGCTTCCGAGTTCAATTTTCCAACGGTCGCTGCCTCTGAATGGTCTGCGTCTAGTTCCGCAACACCTGTAGTTTCCAGCGATTCCTTCGAGACTACTACTTCTGCCGTTGTCTCCCACATTCCGGATTCCAATACTCATACTATTTTGTTTGAAGACTTCACACCAAGTTCCGCAACCCTTGTCACAGATGCGTCCACACAGGGTTCCACAATCCTGGCATCAGTATCAGCATCCACAACCACAACCCCCCTGTCCTCATCCCCCAACCCAACCTCCCCCACAACCCCGGACCCAACTCCCTTCCCCAACCTCTTCGACCAAAACCACCCCCCAACCGCCCTCGCCCTAACCCTCTTCTCCCTCTTCGGCGAAGGCCACACCGAACGTGCCGACCTCCGCCCCCTAGGTCCAGACAGCGGCAGCCCCGCAACGCCCCCCCTCTTCAACGGCACAACCTGGATCACCCCGCCGGCCGCCAGCCTCCCGATGCCCGAGCGACCGCTGGGCGAGGAAGTCGTCGTCGACGGCTTTGACGTCCAGCTGCCGGTGCAGTGGCGCGGCAAGTACCAGGACACCAAGTTTCGCAACTTTGTGGCCCGTCTGCGCGACTTACATCGGGATGCTTGGAGGCAGAGTGGCGGGATTGAGGGTGCGCCGGGGGATTTGGGAGCGGATGGGAAGGCGGTGGTGTATTTTGGGTGGGTTGGGGGATTGATGCATCGGAGGAGTGAGGGGACGAGTAAGGCTGGGTGGATCGAGTGGGATGGTCGGTCTGATTGAAGATTGGGTGATATGTTATGGGGTGATTCGGCGTGGAGAAATGTGTTAGATGACCGACCCTTTTCATGGAGGGAGAAAAGTAGCGAACAGGGAGCTTGGTACGGCCGGTAGGTACCATTGTGTTTTGTCAGATCAGTATAGATACTTTTTGTTTCTTAGTATTAGATAACATCACTTGAAGAGAACTAGAGCAGTCAAAATAAGAGCAAATTTGAACATGATTGCGTGGATGTTTGAGAGGTGGTGTTGCGCTCGACGACTCGTTCCATAACACTTCTCACGACACTTGACCAAGCAATGCGCAGGCGAAAACCATTGAGCAAAACATATGTACAATCAATTCACCGTATACCGAGACTTGCGCTCCACCACCCTTTCCTGTTCTACAATATACTAATAAACGCCATCCCTAATGCATCCAGCACGATCATCGCTCAATGTCCGATACCACCGGCAATCCAATTCATAAAGTCAGGATCGCCAGGCTGTGGAAATAATCCTCTATCTTGTTGCTGTTGCGCCTGCTGACCATGAGCTTGTACAGGAACTCCCTGGTTCAACTGCTGTTGTTGCTCTGCCTGTCTCCTTCTTTCCTCCTCCTGTCTCCGTTGCCTTTGCGCGCGATAGTAGAGCAAAAACGCTAATGCACCCGACAACGCGAGAATGATGAGCGACTCCAAGATATCGCTGTCAATGTCGTCTCCGTGATATCCATCGCCGTAAAAGTCATCGGCACCATCATCATAGTCATCTGGCTCGTATTCGTCCCAGCCCACTAGCTCGGCTTCAAGGAAACGGCTTATCCACTCAGACAGGGTCCATTTCTTCTTAACAACTAAAAAGGGTCAACGACTTTGAATCCCGAGATGAAAGCTGGTTGATATTGTGGCTTACCTGGCTCTTCCTGAATAGACTTGATTTTTCCGTTCGTAACGGTGTTCCACCAGCTTCGGAAGCGGAGTTTGTAAAGGGCCAACACGACAGGGAGGTATGCCTCGCGTGGGTTGGTCTCGAGTGCAAGATCGTAGTGACGCTTAGCCAGGTGGAAATCTTGATCGATACCGATGCCGTTCTCGTGCATCCAACCCAAATTCCATAGGGCTTGCGCACTTTGCAACGACTCGGCTGCGGCTTGGTAGCAAGCTGCAGCCTTTTCCTGATCTGGAGGAGTTCCAAGGCCGTAGTGGTAGTAGTCGCCCATCTTAACCATAGAGTCGATATTCTTCTGCTCGGCAGAGCGTGTCCAATAGATGAGGGCAAGGAAAGCGTCGCTAGCTAGTGATGCTTTTTGCTTGACGAAAGGAACAAGTGAAGTAAGACTAAACTTTGGCTTGGCTTGATCGAGTAGGTACGCGACATTCGCCTGTCCTACTTCAAAGCCTTGTTCGGCAGCCATCATATAGCTGACCAAGGCAGTTTCGAGATCGCCCTTTGTGTAGGCCTCGTTTGCCTCAGGGAATGAGGTCGACACAAGCTCGGCTTTCTCTGCCACAAGCTTATAGTAGGCCGCGGCAACGGGACACGACTGGTCACGGCCCACACCGACATGCGTGAGCTCGGCCAAGTAGTAGTATGCTTCGAGATGTCCGTGTCTTGCTGCAAGCTCAAAGTACTTGATGGCGGTCGGGACATCGCCTTGATCAAGGAAGAGTGCTCCAAGCCTGACTTGAGCTACGGCCAGATCCTGGTCTGCTGCTGCACCAAAGAGCTCTGCCGCCTTGACTGGGTCTTGGGGTACACCTAGGCCGTGCAAGTACATGATTCCCATGGAATATTGTGAAAGCGCATCGCCAAGCTCCATGCCCCTGCGGAACCAGGTTCTTGCGATGTCAAAGCTCTGTGGCATACCCTCACCTCGCAGGAACATACGACCGAGATAGCCAGCGGCTTTGGAAGCCAGTTTTTCGGTGACGGGCGAGACATTGGCCTTGACCTTCCCATCCTTGGTCCAATACAAGCGGGCCAGTTCAAGGAATCGTTTCTTAGCGGCTGGGAGATCCCGCTTTGAGGTTCGAGCACCGTCGTAGTTTAGTTTGGCGAGGTTAAAGCTAGCTCTTGCATCACCCTTCCTTGCCTGAAGATCCATATATTCCACAACATCGTCGAGCGAAGAGAAGGCGTCCGAGTGTACGCTTGCCACTTTGGCATTCTGTCCAGAACTACTGGCACTGGCGCCCTCACCGTAAACACCGCCCTCTTCGTCTGCAATCCTATACGACTCCCTAGGCATTGAATGCCCCCCTGGTGGTCCCGACCGCATGTATGCAATTGCTTTATCCGCAGCTTCCCTATAGAAATGTACAGCCTCTTCACAGTTAGGAGGGGTCGAAATGCCAGCAGAGTGTCGATAGGCAATGGCCATCTCCGAGCGTATGTCACCCCCTTCCGCACCAAGTGTGTAGTAGAGCATCGCTCTGGCCTGATTTTGCTTCACAGCCCCGCCGATGCCTGTCGCATACATGAATCCGACCATGTGCTGTGCCGAGGCGTTTCCGTTTAGGAGTGCGAGTTCATGGTATCGTCGAAAGGCTTCCGAGTAATTTCGTGGATGCGTGAAGTTGCCGTAGAAGTTCATCTCAGCCAGGACGAACAGAGCGTCGGGATTCTTCTGTGCGGCTGCGTCTTCCAACAGTTTGACAGCTTGCGCCAAGGGCTGACCGAGTTTTCTGGGCTGCGAACTGGTCGTCAAAAGTTCCTGCTGGGGCGGCCCGTTCATGAATAGGAGGAAAAAGATCTCTTTTGCGTAGTATGCACTGCTTCCCAACACGCCCGACTTCTTGTCGAAGTTCCACCAGGGCGGCGCTACAGGCTGGATCTTGCGCAGAGCGGTCATGGCCTCGTCGAATTCCAACGTACCCTGATGATGTGGACTGTCCTCCCGTTCCATGTTGCCCCATCTCGACTTCCACGCTGGTTCGCCATCTGGCCCAGTTGCGCTCCAACTATCCGACGACTTGCCCAGCGGTGTCTGTGAGCTCGCTGCTTGGACACCGGGAAACTGCGTCAGAGCTTGAAATGTGAAGAATGAAAGAATGACTACCCGCATAAGAGTCAGTCAGGAAGCAATCCAAAAAATCGTGTCCGCCTACCTACCGAAAAGAAGCGGCACCCGCCGCTGAAATACTGGTCTCATGGTGGCTTATGTGTGGACGTGCAAGGTGGTCGCAGCGAAGAAACTCATGGCATCATGTTATACGGTAGGAGGTCATCACGCGACTACTCTTTTATTGATGTTGTGGGGGGTTGTTGGCTTTGAGGCCAGCTTTCCGCAACGAAGGTCGGCTACAGTTGCGCCGCATAGACCTAGCAGTCGGTAGCCAATCAGCGTTGACGTCATTCGCCATTGCCATGTCACGGCTGACAGACAGATGTGCAGACCACCTAGGTAGAACCAATTTAGAGGCAGAACGTGGGCTTAGACTTGTCTACAGAATATATGTAGGTTATCCTGTCACTACCTTTATTATAATATAATTTCAGGATCTAAAATAACATTACTAACTGCTATCCTATTTGTAACAATAAGGCAGAATTGCTCGCCTAGTATTCTATGCTAAGTTAGCCCTAACAAAGGCCCGACTTACTAATATATATAGAGAGCAGCTCACCTATATTAGAATAGGTATATTCTTCTTATCCTTTTATATAAGACTTATAGGTGTAGGAATCTTATCCTTTTCTATATAGACGCGCACTCCTATATACCTTTAAGTTTTATAGGATACCTTTTATATACCCTACCTACCTATATTATTATATTATAAGAAGAATATTATCCTAGCTAGTAATAGTATTTAAGAATATTATATTTATTATTATTTTAAGCTACTAATTTAGTTCTAGTAGTGAACCGTTAGGGAGAGTAACCCATTCAAACGAGGAGAAGTAGGAGGGACAAGGTTCAATAGTAGTGATCCCATAGCAGAGGATATAGGTTTAATGCAGAAACATAAGTAAAAAGATAATATTGTAGAGTTTAAGTAAAGTCCGCAGGAGTCGTGCTTGTCCTATCCTCTAATCCTTCATGCCTTTATACTATTCAATCCGCCTAACTTTTTAGGCTAATCCTTGTTTTTCTCCCATACATCCTATACCACGGCACAGTAGTAGTCTAACCTAATAACTCTATAGTTAGAATAGCTATTAGAACTTCTAATAACTAAAGCCTATAGGCTTAGACTTCTAGACTACTAGGTAGTGTGTAAAGGGCTTAGGCTTATGCCTAAGCCTAGGTCTAACACAAGATAGACCAAGTCTAACACTACTACTAAGCGAACACACTAGACACCTATAAAAAGGCGTAGAGGGCTTACCTCTCCTTTAAGATACTAAATACTATTATTAACACTTATTATATTCTCCCTTAAGGCTAGTCTATAATATTTTAGTATCTTCTTCTAAATATACTATAATAGTAATAAGAGATAGACGCGCTAGATATTTAGAATAACTAGGTGCAACCTAATATAGTAGAAAGGCTAATATAGTAGGTCTATAGATTAATAGAATAATAGGCTTAAGACTCTGCTATAATAGCTATACTATATTAATAGAACAAGGAAATACGCAATTAGATTCTATCCTAACCCCCCTCTAAGCCTGCTAGGTCTAATAACCTACTACCTCTACCCCCCTCTACCTTATATTGCAAACCTTTCCTAGTTAGCTTGCTATATAATAGTACTAAGGTAAACTTCTCCTCCTAGTAAATAACTATAAAGTTTAAACTACGTGCAGACAAGGTCTTTATTAGGGATAAGGAGGCAAGGTTTATATATATTTAGTCCTAGTTATTACCTATAGTCTAGCACGCTATAGCACTATACTTTAAGGATAGTACACGTAAATATTAGGATATAAGCAGGTTTCTTAACTACCTAGTATTCTATTATAGTAACTATTATAGGCAGGAGCGTACCTAAGTTATATTAGAATACTTATATTAGGGCTAAAATTAGCTTTTTATAGAGTTCTTTATAAATTTTATATAGCTCCTTATATAGTTAGGAGGTTTATACTAGAATAATAAATAGAAGCTTTTATAACTTTAGTAATCTCTTAATAGTTATATACGCTTAGTTTCCCTTAATAGGGGAGTCTCTAGGATAAACTATAATATAGCTATAGAGGAATATAAGATAATTATAGTAGATATTAAAATAGCCTCTCTAGAACTAGGCTTTCTTTAGGCTAGTAAGTCTAAGGAACCCTAGTAGAAGTCTAACTTAGATTAGGATAGTAATATAAATATAGTAGAAGTAGTAGCCTTATTAAGTATACCTACTAAACTGCTAGCATTACGTCCTAACTAGATCCTATAGGACCTATTTAATATATAGAAACTAGCAAAGGTCTACACCTAGTGTAGATAGGGTAGTTATTTTATACGTGTATACCCTAATACCCTATTACTATAACTAGTAGGTGTTAAGATAGTTATAGTATTAGCAAGCAGCCCTAATTTAGGAAACTAGCTACCCCTAACTTTAGGCTAAGTTAGGGGTATAAGGAGGACACTATAATAGAGGAATTATTAATAGTAGAGGCTATTAAGTATCCCCTAGATATTAAGGCTAGGCTAAATAATCCTCCTTTCTTTATTCCCCTCCTCCTAGGTAGAGTAGAGAATATGTAAGTAATAGTTAATTTAGGGTGCTAGTGTTTTAGTATAGTTAAGGAAAAGTTAGTAAGATAGATTAGTAGAAACTTTATTAATATTCCCCTATAACCCTTATAATATACCTAGGGAATTACTAAGGGTATAAGAATTTTATAGTTAGTAGTATTAGACTATAATTTAGATAGTTAGCAGTCTTAGCTTTTAGCTTATATAGTACCTAGTCTCTCCTATTAACTAATACTAGGTAGACTATAGCTATATAGAGAGGGCGTTATTATAGATATTCTAGAAGGCAAATTAATAATTAGGAAGGCAGGAAATATAGTAGTATAGGAGAGCGGGAGACGCCTATATCCTACCTATATCTCTACTATCTTAGGTTTAGTTATAGCAGGGTTACTAAATTAAGGATCCTAATAGGAAGATATATAGGTATAAATTTTTATAATAAATATACTAGATATTTTATAGGTAATATATAACTTACGCCTAATAAAATATCTAGGAAGTGTTAATAAGGGAAGTTCTATTAATATACACACTATCTATATTGCTAGTAATATAGTTCCCTATAAACCTAAGTATAAAACTAGAAAGATAAAGTTACTATTAGAACTATAAGAGTTTAAGGACCTGTTTAATAAAGAGTTAGCAAGTAGTTTGCTACCTTATTAAGGTAGTATAGATTACTATATTTAGTTAATAACTCTCCTAGATAGAACCTAGCCTAACCCCCTATAGGGTCCCCTATACCTTATATTGCGTAACTAATTACTAGAACTAAGAATATAACTTACTAGATTAATAGACAAGGGCTAGATCTAAGCAAGCTCTTCTATAGCTAGAGCTCTAGTATTACTAGTAAAGAAGCTATTAGGCAGTTAGCGCCTTTATATAGATTACTAGATACTTAATAGTATAATAATATTAGACTAATACCTACTACTACTTATTAAGGAAACTTTATATATACTATCTAGCGTAAGTTAGTTTATAAAAGTAGATATTTACGCTACCTTTTATAAAGTTAGAATAGTAGAAGGTTATAAGTCCTTAATAGCTTTCTATACCTAGTTTAGGTTATATAAATAGTTAGTATATCTATTTAGTCTTAGTAGTACGCTATCTACTTTCTAATAATATATTAATACTACGCTTATAGAGTTACTTAGATTATATATAATAGCCTACCTTAATAATATCCTAATTTATTTAGGAGGAGACTAGGTTAACTATATAGAAAAAGTAAAGCGTATACTTGCGCTATTAAAAGAAGTAGGACTATACCTAGACTTAGAGAAATATACTTTTAGTGTTAAGGAGGTACGCTACCTAGGCTATATTATTAAGGTAGGCAAATTACTTAGACCTAACCCTAAAAAGCTTAGGGTAGTATAGGAATAGGAATCCCCTAGGAATATAAGAGAGGTAAGGAGTTTTCTAGGTTTTGCTAACTTCTACTATAATTTTATCGCGAAGTTTTCTAAAGTAGTAGCGCCTTTAAACTAACTAACTAGAAAGGATACCCTATTCTAATAGGTAGAGGAAGAATAAAGTATATTTAACGCGCTAAAAAAGGTATTTATATTAGGACTAGTATTAATATAATAGGACCTAGCTAAAGAAATATTATTAGAAGTAGACTATTTAGGATATACTCTTAGGGGTTGCTTATTATAAAAAGTTAGGGGCGTCTAGCGCCTAGTTACTTACTACTCTATAGCACTAATGCTAGAGAGACAAAACTACACTATATATAATAAGGAATTACTTACTATTATTAAGTATCTTAAAAGCTAGTTAGTAGAGTTATAGAGTATTTATAAGCTATTTATAATATTTATAGACTATAAAAACTTAGAGTACTTTACTAGCCTTTAAAGCTTAAGCAAGTAATAGTACTACTAGGCAGAGGAACTTTTAAAATATTAGTACATCCTATAGTATAGGCCTAGCTATCTTATAGGATAACCTAATACCTTAAGTAGATAACTATAAGATTTAAACTCCTCTAAAGCAACACTATAGTTAGTAATACGCCCTAAATTAATTTAGGTTATAGTATTAGAAGTAGAGAAGGCGTCTAAGTTACTAAAGGGCGCTAGCCTCTTTACTAACCTATATATATAGACACTATAGGACAAAGTAGTACTAGAAGATAAGATATACTAAGTATGTCTTAATATAGTTTAGAAAGGCGCTAGGTCTTTCCTAGTTTTAGCTAACATAAAGCAATAAATTAGGGACTATATAATTAGTATATATAGCACTTTGCTCTAGAGAGGTGTTATTTAGTTACTAATATAGGAACCCCTTATAACTACTATTATATAGTAAGTATATAAATTAGGTTTAGCAGGATATCTAGGGAAGAATATAATATTTTAAATACTACGCCGCGACTATTATTAGGATAGAATATTAGGAGATATTACGTAGTATATTTAAAACTACTATTATTATAGTGCTTATATCTCCTAGAAGCGCTAATAGGGTCTATTATAACCTATACT